TAAAATGGTGCAATAGCTTTTTGAGGAGTCAGTTATAGTGCCAGTTAGCTGGCTATACCTTGAGTGCTGGGGTAAGGTTCTCTGTGCTCTACATCAGTGTCTAATACATGGTGGTGTCTTTTCCATAGACTGGATTCATGGGTCGAAGAATCAAAGAGTGGAAATGGAAGTGGAACCACTCACCATTACCCTAGTAAAATTTTTGCTTCCCATTTCTATGACTTTATACTCTGCCGGCCTAAAGGTCTCTAGTTCTGAGGGAAAAATGCTTTCACCAGGAGACATAATGATGATTCCACTGAACTGAAAGTTAAGACTGCTGCCCAGTCAGTTTGGGCTCCTTGTGGTTTTGAGTCAACAGGTAAAGAATGGAAGTGTGGTATTGACTGAGGTGATTGATTCAGACCACCAAGAAGAATTGGACTATTATTCCATAATGGAGAGAGAGAAGAGTAAGTCCAGAAAACAGGAGATCCTTCAGGTATCTTTTAGTGTCACCATGCCCTTGATTATGGTCAATATAAAACTATAACAACTCAATGACCAGGACTCAAGGGCTACTAATGACCAGGCCCTTCAGATTTGGATCACCCTGCCAGGTGAAAAACCGTGACCAGCTGAGGTGTTTGCTGAAGGCAAAGGGAATACAGAATGAATAGTAGAAGAAGGCATTTATAAATACCAGCTAAGAATAAGCAACCAGTTACAGAAATGAGGGCTATAACTGTCATGAGTATTTTCTCCTTGTTTTGTAATGAATATATTTGTGTGAATATATATGTGTATATATATGTATATATAATATTTGAATATATATGGAATATGTCTTATATATTTATAAATTAATTTATATCTATATAAATTAAGCAAATATTTTTCATTACCTTATTCCCTTATGTAACATAAGATGCATTGACTTTATATCATAGTATTTAAGTATTATTAATCTTACACAGAAGTAAAGTTATAAGATATCGATGGGAAGAGTTAACATCACTCAAATACTTTGCCTCCTCTTCTGGGGAAGGGATTAGTGTGTCTTCGGTTGTATGCAGGATAGTTGTATCACTTTAGGCAGAATTATGACCCTGTTAGTGTCTTTAATTGAAGATCAAGTGTGGTTTAAAAACATGTGTATGGGTAGATTGATAAGAGGTAGAATGGTGGTGGTCATTTTATGTGTCAACTTGACTGGACTAGGGGATGCCTGGGTAGCTGGTAAAACATCATTTCTAGGTGTGTTTGTGAAGGTGTTTCCAGAAAAGATTAACATTTGAATCAGACTGAGTACAGAAGATCATCCTCACCAATGTGAGTAGGTACCATCCAATTTATTGAGAACACAAATAGAACAAAACTTCAGAACAATGTATTTTCTCATTCCTTATGGAGCCGAGACGTTCGTCTTCCTCTTTTTTTTCTTCTTGCTCTGTTGCCCACACTGGAGTGCAGTGGCGCAACCTCAGTTCACTGCAACCTCTGCCTCTTGGGTTCATTCTTGTGGCTCAGCCTCCCGAGTAGCTGGGACTACAGGCACACACCACCATGTCTAGCTAATTTTTGTATTTTTAGTGAGACAGGGTTTCACCATGTTGATCAAGCTGGTCTCAAACTCCTGGCCTCAAGTGATCTGCCTGCCTCAGCCTCCCAAAGTGCTGGGATTAAAGGTGTGAGCCACCGCACCTGGCCTATTCATCTTCTGTTAACATGAGTGTTCCTGGTTATTGGGCCTTTAGACTCAGATCAGGACTTATACCATCTATACCTCCATTCTTGGGCCTTTGAATTCAGACTAAATTACATCATTGGCTTTCTTTGTTTGCTGGCTTGCAGATGTCAGATTCTGGAACTTCTTGGCCTCCATTGTCCCATGAGGCAATTCCTATATTAACTCTCTCTCTCTTTCTCTCTCTCTCAACTCTAGAGAGACAGTCTGTTTCTGTGGAGAATTCTTGCTAATGCAGCATTTTAAGAATTTAAACACGATCATGCTTCTGTAGCAGAAAATCCTGAGATTCTTTCCTTTGATGGCAGAGATTCAAAGTAGTTTGGTTCCACTGCACAGCTGTGACCACTGGGCTTTGTGAAATCACTCTCTCCAGAGAAACTTCATGCAGCTTCATAAAATTACTTTTGTCTTCAGGATGGAGGTTTATTGGTTCTCCGCACAACTGGGAAATCATCCCTTTTGGACTATGGAGAGTCTTGATTAGCCCTTCCAAATTAGTTTTTTCTTCTTCTGTTGGAACTTTTAATCAGTACAGTTTGCCAGACATAAGGCAATATATCCAGAAAGTAGAATGCCACAAGCCTCTGCAGATAGTCATTTCCCAGGAAGCACATAATTTCTCACTTCATCTTATAAAGGAAAATGGTGGAGGAATGGAAACAAACATGTATTTAGACTTACTATGTTCCCGGTCCTTTGTGAGGGGTTTCATATGGAATATTTCACTGAATATCAGCAACACTTTTATGATGTAGATAACATTTTTGAAAGGCCACCTGAAGCCCAAAAAGATTGAATAACTTGCCCAAAGGTAACATTGTATGAGATGATCGGACTTGGATTTGAATCTAGCTCTGACTCCAAATGGTTGCTTTTTGTATTATAGCTGGTTGCTATCTACTCTCCTCCAATTAGACTTGAGCTAAAAACAGGACTGAAATGATGCTACATTCATGAGATTAATATTAATGCAGTAGAATCACTCCTTTGCTATCTACAGGAGGAGACAGTATTAGTCTGTTCTCACACTGCTAATAAAGACATACCTGAGACTAGGTAATTTATAAAGGAAAGAAGTTTAATTGACTCATAGTTCCACATGACTGGGGAAGCCTTACAATCACGGCAGAAGGCAAATGAGGAGCGAAGTCATTTCTTACATGGCAGCAGGCAAGACAGCTTGTGCAGGGGAACTCCCATTTATAAAACCGTCAGATCTCATGAGACTTATTCATGACCATGAGAACAGTACGGGGAAAACCACCTCCATGATTCAATTATCTCCACCTGGTCCCACACTTGACACATGGGAATTATTACAATTCAAGGTGAGATTTGGGTGGGGACACAGTCAAACTGTATCACCCAGTATAAACCACCTAGCTCTAATTTTGCTTCTGTCATGGAGAAACTATTTCTTAAAATTCCTCTGGGTGTTTTTTCTCCCATATTAATGCATTTTTTATTTTTACTCTCTCTGTTTCTCTGTAGTCTTTACTACCATTAAAGCAAATCAGTGGCATTTATTGCCATAGTGAAAGGTAGAGAGATACATCTGAAGTCCATAGGGCAGGAGAGAAAAAGGTGATCCCTGGGAATATTACTTCTGGACAGGAAGGGGAAGTAGAAATTCTTCCTGGGTTATAGGGCAGGGACAGGATCCTTCAGCAACCTGGTGTCCAGCCCTCAGGAATTGTATGCCAAGCTGAAGAGGACAGGGACCAGTGAGAAGAAACAAAGGCTCTTCTACAATGCTGAGAGACTCCGTAAATTTCCATGTGCACGCACATCTGTGGGGAAAGATAAGGAAGGCAGACACTTTGGAGGAAAGAAACACTGTAGGTAAGAAGTCAAAACTTAGATTGTGAGATATGAAATGCTATTTACCAGAAAAAATAAAATTACATTATACTGGAAAATTCCAAGATTTCTTACCACCTGCTATAAGTAAGGATAGGGCCTCCAGATTAGGATGAGAGAAATTATAGAAAGAGGAAAAGTCTACATTTGTAGTACATCCTTCATGTATAGTGTATTAATTTTAGATAATGCTGTGCTTTCATAACTCATTCTTTTGAGTTATTAATAATGGCTCCTCTTAAAATACAAAGAGATTTTCTGGTAGGCATTGAATGTCAAGCTATGTTAAGTATCAAGACCATGACATGAATCAGGTTACTGTGACTCATCTCAGGTACCTACAAAGACCTGCAAGGATACAGAAGAGACTGATATCATAGTGTCATGGTCCGTGGGGTAAATCCCTAATGAGAGAAGGCAGGACTAGGAAAAACTCTATTTTATAGAAACCTAAGTCAAGGCCCAAAAAGTGGACACCTGGGCCTTGGGTGTTTGGGAAAAGCTGCAGAGAGGACAGGGAAAGGTGTGCCAGGAGGTGGGACTGGGGGAGAGACCTGTGAGCAAACTTCTCCTTAGCTCTGCATGATGTTGCAAAAGTGTGTGAATTTTGGCTCCAGACAAATCTGAGATTAGATTCTCCCTGGCCACTAGTGCCTGATGCCTTTGGACAAACTTATCTGCATAAAGGGAGAGCATTGCTTGAGGACGTAGTGAGAATTAAATGAGAAAACATTTGTTAAATGCCCAACACTATGCTTGTCACAGGGTAGCTACTATGCCCATAACTGTAGATTTTAATGTCTGAAAGTGAGGGCTACACTAATTTGCTCTGGAGGTTTCCCTGAGCAGATGGTGAATAAGTGTCAGAAAATGAATGATATACTCTGTGTCACGGGTGGCCCAGAAGCATGTGGTGGCACGTGTGGTTTGTATCTCTTTATGAGTGTTCTGAGTCACTCTGAACCCAAATGACAGCTGTGTGTAAGCAATTCCTGCTGGCAGGCTTACTGGTCTAGAAAGCCAAAGAGAAACAACAATGCCCACCCCCCAACTAAAAAAAAAAAATTCCCCAAACCTCATTACCATTGGGACTTGTTAGCTTTGTACCTTTCTGTGAAGATGATTTGATTTGTGGCTCCTCCAACTGATTTAACTATGGCTTTGCCAGTCTGTCCTATCTATTAAGTTAGAGCAAAAATCTTTTCAAGTGTCAGCCAGGGGAATCCATCCGGAGTTCTGGAGGTCCTGGCAGCACTAACTGGGAGAAAAGAGGAACGCATGCTTTCTTCCTGAGACTGTGACTTAGTACACTGGAGTTGCAGTGACAAAATACCTGAGACTGGCTAAGTTATAAAGAACAGAAATTTATTTCTCACAGGTCCGGAGGCTGGGAAGTTCAAGGTCATGGTGCCTGCATTCAGTTCTGGTGAGGGCGGCTCTCTGCTTCCAAGATGGTGCTTTGTTGCTGTGTACGGCAGGACAAAAGGGACCTAAGTTAGTTTTCTCCACCCCTGTGACAAGGCACTAATCCATTCGTGAGGACAGATCTCTCATGACTCAATCACTTCCCCACAGGACCCATCTTTTAATACTATGACAATGAGGACTACACTTTACCATAAATTTTGAAAGACAGGCAAATTCAAACCATAGCATTCTGCCCCAGTCTCCCCTAAATTTGTGTCCTTCTCACATATGAAATATATTCATTCCATTCCAATAGCCCCTCAAATCTTTACTTATTCCAGCATCAACTTAAAAATCTGTGTCCAAAATCTAAACTAAATATCATCTAAATCAGGTACAGATAAAACTTGTGGTACGATCTCTCTGATTCAAATTCCTTCTCCAGCTGTGAGCCTGTGAAATAAAGCAAGGTACTTTTAACATACAGTAGTGGGACAGGCATCAGATAGACATTCCCATTCTAAGAAAAAGTAACGGAAAGGCAGAAAGGGGTAATAGGTCCTGAGTGAGTCTAAAACTCAACAAGGCAAACAACATTCAATCTTGAGATCTGAGAATAATATTCTTTGACTCCATGTCCCTTATTCCAGACACACTGGGGCAGGGGTTGGGTCCCCAAGACTCCAAGGGATCCTACTCCCATGGATTGCCTGAGCTCAGCTCATGCTGAAGCTGTTATGGGTTAGACTCAAGTGCCTGGGGCTCCCCCAGGCTGCCACTGCACACTGGTGGCCCTACATGTCTCAGATCTCATAGGCTGCTCCAACCTCATGCCTCTTCTGGGCATTGCTCTGGTGGGAATTTTCAGTGGCAGTCTTCTCCTGGTAGAAGTTCTCTGCCTGTTCTCCAAGGCTCTCCAAGGCATCTTTTGAAATCTAGGTGGAGGTAGTCATGTTTCCACAGATCATGAACTCTGTGTGCCTGCAGAGTTAGCATCACATGGATGCCACCGTGTAATACAGCTTGTACCCTGCTGAGTGGCTTGAGTAACAGCTAGGGCAGCCAAGAAATGCTGCACCAGAATGCAGGGAGCAGAGATTTGAGGTGGCCCTGGGCAGTGAGGCCACAGGCACCTTGGGTCCCTCTTTTGAAACTGTTCTGCCCGCGAGGCCATGGCACTTTGGGCCTGTGAGAGTGGGGTATCCACAAAGATTTCAGAAACGCCTTTGCGATTATTCTTTCATTGTCTCAGTGAATAGCACCTGGCTTCCTTCTATCCATATTAACCTCCATTTCAAACAGTTGCTTAGCCACACCCTTAATATTTGCTCCAAAACACACTTTCTTTTTCTTTACATGGCCAGGCTGAGAATTTTCCAAATCTTTAAGTTCTATTTCTATTTTGATAATAAATTCCATCTTTAATTAAGTTATGTCTTTTTGCATTTTTTTTCCCACAAATAGCACTTTTTATTTGACACTATTTGAAGTCTGAACTTTAAACAGATTCTTGGATGGGTGGTTCATATCCATCAGCTCATTCAACTTTAGCACCTGTCTCATCCCCAGTGGCTTTTCCAGAACTACTGCCTTCACCATGAAGCTCCGTGAGCTTTCCCAATTCAAACCTGGCTTCTTCAGCACTTATACTTTCCAACGAACACTTCATGGAGAGGATAAATAGATTGGCAAGCCTTTTCTATGTCTTTTCCAATGCTGTCTGGAATCAATTTATTGACCACTTCTTTCAAGTCATTTGTCTGCACCTCTCGGGTCATGATTTCCATCATCTTCCGGATTTGGCAGACCTGTTGGTGCTGAGCATAAGAAGTCTTCCGTAACTGATTGTTGCGTTTTTTAGTAAAACCAACACAGAACAGACGAAGCAAGTAACCATCGGTAGTCTTGACATCAACATGAGCTTCAATCATTGTCTGCCACTTTTTGACCATGGAACACATTTTGTCACAGGTAAGATCCATGCCATGGAAGTTAGTCGAGCAGTTTTTGCCCTGAACATCTTCAGTAATCAGCTTGAATTTTCTAAATGCAACTTCATCATTCTGCAAATCAGCAAGACTCACTTCAAACACATGACCCTTGAGACCACCAGATACAATTTTGGTTCCTTGGGTCCTGGTGACGAGCGTCTTTCCAATATTTCTTATATTGAACATAGCAGGTGCTTTCACATCACACCAATCTTTCTTAGAAAATGGACCAACCACTTTCTTCTTGGCTCCCTTTTTGCCGCCTTTTGTAAGGCGCTTGTTCTTGCCAACCGCCATGGTGCTGGCTAGAGAGCCAAAAGGCTCTTTTTGCGTTTTTCTATATATAAGCAGTCGAGAGAAGCCATGGAGCGCCCTGAGTGGTTTGTTGAGATACTTTTCATCAAATATTCGAGTTCATTGTCCTTAGGTTCTGCCTTCCACAGAGTACCAGGACATGGATAAAATTCAGCCAAGGTATTTGCCACTTTATAAAAAGAGTGGCCTTTCCTCCAGTTTCCAGTAAGATATTCCTCATTTTCAAATAAAACCTCAGCAGAATGAACTTTACTGTCCGTATTTCTACCAACGTTCTGATCATGACCACTTAGAAAATCCCTAAGATGATTTAGGCTCTTCCTACAGCTCTCTCCTTCTAAGCCCTCATTCGAATTGTCCTTCATTCACAACAATCTAGGCTTTTTCTAGTGCGCACTTTCAAACTCTTTCAGTCTCTATGCATTACCCACTTTCAAAGCTGCTCCGCATTTCCAGGTGTTTGCTACATAACACCCTACTTCTGGTACCAGTATCTGTCTTGGTCACATATTCAAAGCACAGAATTGTGATTTACTCTTCTATCAGAACACTTTATTCTACCACTTATTTCCGTTTAGAAGTGAAAGAGGTAGACCAGACTAGGAATGCAAAACTTGGAGTTTATGAGAAAGGGTGATTTGGATTTTCTTCCTGTGCATATATAACCCAAGTATCTCTGACTCTCTGTGCATTTACACTTGCTGTTGCTCTTGCCAGCACCTGATTTAGGTTAAGTTTTAGCTGTTGTCCCATCCTAACTGCGCATATCTTCTGTCCACTGCATACTCCCCAGTGACCCCTGTTTATGTCTCAAAGCAGTCAGAGTATTGGAACTTTTTTTAAGTTCAAAGGAAGAACTTGAAGAAGGACATTGCACAAAATATTCCACTTTTGCTCTTTATTTAAAGGTGCTTTCCACATGGCAGTTGCAAAATTTCTTTATCTTTTCATTGTTCCTCTTCCTTACAATAAACCTCCTACTCATTCACGTGAGACCATGAACGCCACGTTTTCCTCTCTCTTCTACATCAAATTCCCCAACTACTAGTGTATGCACCTAGAAAAGAGTATCTCTAGCATGCCTTGGTTTCTCTTATAAGTGTATTTAAAATTTTTTATTTATATTAATCTTTCTATGTAATAAATGCTAATCAAATTAGAAAGAGAAAATAGGCAGCTATGTGATAAATACAGACCAATATAAAATGCTGGAAAAGCCTACCATCTATGTTAGAAAAGTGCTTACAAAAATAAATGCTGTTTTGAGTGGAAAATGCAGCTCTATAAAGGAATCACTTCTCAGTTAAAGGATCAGAGCTGAAGGTTGCCAAGGTTGGGTCTTGGGATGAATACACCCAGTGGAGAAGCCTGTCCTTCAGGCCAAGGCATGCACACATTTCAACTTCCAGGAGAACTGACTGATTGATATGGTGAGGGGACAGGAATAGAAGTTTAGTACTATTGCCTCAAGTTGGACAGCTCTGTGGTACCATTCATATGCCTGTCTGCCCATGGGATCAGGCTGGGATTATACCTTAGGTGAAACTATGTCTTTACTGAACTTCTTTCCTCTGCCCAATCCTTTGTCTCTCATTTCTTTAGAGGGTCTTTTTGAGGGGGATCCCATAGTAAATCACAGCACAAAAATCCCCATTTCAGACTTCTGGGAAACACAATCTAAGACACTTGCTGTGGTATATGTGGAGTGATGGAGTGGGCAGCTGGGCTGTGGTATATGCAGAGTGATGGAGTGGGCAGCTGGGCTGTGACTTACAGGCCAGTGGTCACATTCATGCAATCCTTCCTTTGTGGTTGTGGTTTTTACTACCAGATTGATGGTTACATATAGAGTATTGCAAAAGTGACCACCACTTTTCGAGGCCACCATCACTTGTGATGGTGAATGACTTCTTGTGAGACCTGGATGTTTAAAAGTGTGAAGCACCTTGCTCTCTCTTGCTCCTGATTTTGCCATGTAGCATGCTTGCTGCCCCTTATCCTTCTGCCATGATATGATTTGGATCTGAGTCCCCCTCCAAATCTCATGTCAAATTGTAATCCCAAATGTTGGAGCTGGGGCCTGGTGGGAGGCGATTGGATCATTGGGGCAGTTTTTCGTGGTTTAACACCATTTTCCTTGGTGCTGTCATCATGATAGTGATGAGATCTGGTTGTTTAGAAACATGTACCACCACGCCTCCTTCCTTCTGCTCCAGTCATGTGAAGTGGTGGCTCTCCCTTTGCCTTCACCATGATTGTAAGTTTCCTGAGGCCTCCCCAGAAGTCAAGCAGATGCTGCCATGCTTCATAGACAGCCTGCAGAACTGTGAGCCAATGAAACCTCTTTTCTTTATAAATTCCCCAATTTCAGGTATTTTTTTACAGCAATGTGAGAACAGACTAATACATGCCCTGACTGTAAGTTTCCTGACACCTCCTCAGAAGCCAAGCAGATGTCAGCATTATGCTTCCTGTATAGTCTACAGAACCATGAGTCAATTAAAACTCTTTTTTTTATAACTTACTCAGTCTCAGGTATTTCTTTATAGAAATGCAAGAATAGCTTAATACACATGGTCAATGGGTTATATCTGTTTTTACAAAAGAGGAAACTAATGCTCAGAGAAGGAATGTAATTTGCCCAAGGTATAGTTAGCAGATGGATTTGAAGGTAAGTTTGCTTGACTTCAATGACTATCATTAGGTAGCTCTTGGAAATGTAGGCTTCTTGTCACAGTATGTACCTTTCAAAACTGTATGGTTGGACAAATCTATGCATACTATTTAATATTCTTTTAATCTTGGCCTCCAAGTCTTACATGGAACTTCAGATCCATAAGAAATTTCCAAGCAATTATTATTTCCACATTTCAGTTTAGAACAGCATTTCCCTGTTTTTGTATTAGGGGACAGACTTCTAAATTTTCAAACATGCCTTTCAGTCATCTGTCTTCTAAACTATATCCTCCAGCATAAACTATGTCCTCAATAAAACCTATTATATTTTATACAAATATTTCTTCTGCACCTCTTTGTGTCTGTGTCCTAAGCTCTGGAGAGGCAAAGAAGAATATATTCTTTCAAGGAGTCACATTTTATTGAAGACAAAAAATATACACATAATTTTTTAAAACCACACACAACTCATAAATGAAATATGGAAGTGTTAAATGGAGTACTAAAACTAGTCTGGTGAGTGAAGGGGTAAAGTGATCAGAAGATTTCCTTGGAGGAGGCGATACCTAAACTAAGTCTCAAAGGAGTTCACCTGGCTGGGTGGGGTTGGGTGGGGTTGAATGAGTACAGTAGACAAGGGTCAATAAATGCTGTAATGTATAAACTCACAAAGTTCAGGAGCCAATATAGTGAAAGTTTATATGTTGTTCATGTTAGAGTTTGATGCAGACATTTCTGTTGAGAGGGTGGGTGTGAGACTCTGTCCCTAAAGTTATTGAGAGATCAAGGCTGACAGATGGTCTGCATCTTGGATACAGACGCCTTCTGATGTCTCATTGACATCCAGTAGGGAGAGAAGACAGGATGTAGAGAGCACATGTGCATCTTAACCACTTCCCTATGCATCACTTCCTTGAAGGCTGCATTGGTGAGCCTAACCACATGGCCTGACCGTGAGGATGGGGACTTTGTTTTGTTAACTGCTGTATTCCCCACAAAAGGAGCAGTAAACACATTAAACGCACAAGAAATGTTTGTCAAATTTATTTGTGATTGAATATATCTTTGCACTATTAGTACAGCATCTACCACACAGTGCCATTCTATAAATATTGGTAGAAATGAAGTATAGTTTTCTTTTCTTTTTACCTATGTTAAAAATTATTAAAATGTACTAAAAATCTAACACACTGGAATATATGAATTTCTCAGTTATGAACCCAAGAATTATGACAGGTTAGAAAAATTCTGGGAAATATTTGTTTGTATGGGCACCAAAGTGGAACTTCAGCTCTATCAGCAATAGAATCCTTCCTTCTTTCTCTTCCTCCCTCCCTCCCTCCCTCCTTCCTCACCTCTCTTTCTCTCTTTTCCTCCTTTCCTTTATTCCATTTCTATAGACCTGAACATATTCCATAGTGCTTCTGTCCTATCTGTTTGGGGGAATACAGAGATTTGCTGGACACAACTTTTGCTTTACAAAAGGAATCTAGACATATTACCAAAAACAAGAACACAAGGCAAACAGTGACAAACACCACATTAGAGCCATAGATAGAACCACCCATTTACCTAGTCTATGTGGCTGAAGAGGGGCTGGCTCAAAAACACCTCCCACATCAGCTGTACCTTTTCGCCATCTGGAGTATCTGGTACACCTACAGTTCAGGTGCCACACTCCACTTCGAGTTTCAGCGAGAAGAAAGTGGCAGAGGAGATGACTGGGTGAAAGCCTTCTACTGGCAAAGCCATTATTTTCACATCAACATCTTACATCTCCCAAGGGATATTTCTGGTCATAAATATGTACCTGAAAGGGATACTTCTCATGAACCATCTTCTTGATTGCCAGGCCCAAGGATTAGAATTGCACATATCAGAAGGATAATTTTCACTCCCTTTAAAAAGCAAATTACCTATAAGGCATATAAATAGCTGTTCCCACAGAGGCAGCTGAGTTTGGAGAACATACTACCAGCAGGGGTTATTGATATTTTTATGTGATCAGGAAAACTGCCTTAAACAAATTTTCCTTCCTAGTGAGACATTCATCAGTCAGGCCATCAAGTCAAAAAGGCCCAAGTTCTCAAGAACCTTGTATTACATGGATCATGAAATTCTTCAGCAACTTGAGGAATATGATGTTCTTGTAGTTCTGGGAATTTGTATTCTGTAACAAGTAGTACAGGGCCCATTTATGGTTCCCAAGAGCACCAAGGTAAATGTCAAGTTAATATCATTAGAAAAAAATAAAAAAGACTCCCACATTTATCTTTTACGAATAAAGGCAATTTCATCAGTAAGGCAATAAGGACAGAAAACATATCTGGCTGACATATTAGTTGAGTGGTTGTCTATGTTTTTAATTTCAAAGAAACTCAGAAAGAACATGGAATATCTTCAATTGTGATCATTCAGCTAGCTGTAGGGGAGTCAAAACTCCACCTCCATCCTCTTTGGGTTCTGCCTGGATGCTAAAGTTCAGTCGATATAGACAGATTAACAGGAGAAAAGCATACAAATTTATTTAATACAAGTTTACATGACACAGAAGCTTTCATAAGAAAATGAAGACCCCAAAAAAGCAGCTAGAGCCACTCACTTGCATACTGAATTGGACAACGAACACGGTTGCAAATATAATGAGGCAAAGGGGCTTCGGCTAGGGTAGTTAATTGGGTAAAGAAGTGACTAAGAAGATAAGGGTTAGTTTAACAAGGTCAACTTGTGGAGCTCTCTCTTGGCTTCAACTTTCTGTTCTTGATGATAAGAGCATTGCTTTTATAGGGAGCTCATCTTTCAAATGGGAATGCCACCTCCTGCTTTTAAGAAACACAAAAATGGTCAGAAGGATCTTTTTGCACCTACTGTTTTTTAAGTACCTTGAACAGCAATAATTATGATGCCAGAGCAGCATATTTTGGGGATGGCGTATTCTTAACTCCTTCATCACCAATAACTACATTGCAAGCATTTCAAAGAGGATCTTCACTGTTTTCATCTCTAGCCTCTTTCTACTCTTCCAACTGAGTTGACTTCTATTTTTATGATGTTGTTTTCACTATGTGAACCAAATTATTAGTGTCACTCATGAAAAGTCACTAAATGGCATTTATTTACTTTAAGGCTGATAGGAAATACAAATAGCAATTTAGCTGAGAAGAAATGTGTCTGTTTTCCTGCAAACTGTTGTATAATAATGCTCAGTTGGGAGGTAATGGGTAAACTGCAGTCATTCCTTCAAGAAACCCAACCTGCCTTCCATGGACCTACTTAGCAAAAGCAGCAAGAGCTGCCCATTCCTTGAAGCTGTGGCTCCTGTGACTCTAAGATAATTCTTCCTGGAACTTGTTTCTAATCCAGGATACTGTTGAGATGCCCCTGAAGGTTCCTTAATAAACAGTCTAAAGGTATTCATTTTATTAGGATTAGAAAGTGAATCTATATTTTAGGAGCCAGACTAAATAATGACAAACATTCAGAGTCACATTTTTCATTTATTAGAATGACAACTTTCCAGGTTATGTGGTGATTCAGAGATCTGAATCTGGATTTCCATTCTGCCACTTACCAGCTATCTGCCTTTGGATGTCTTGCTAAACTGCTCTGGGTTTCACTCAGGTGCTGATTTTTAAAGTAAAAAAAAGATTGTTTTCCTTTTTGACTTCAAAGTATGTTTTATGACAAGAAATAAGAAAAAGAATGTAAACATGACATATAAGCTATAAACTATTATTAAGATAATTCAATAAATAGGGTGCGTGTATGACTGCTTATGTTTACATCTGTGTGGTGATAAATCCTATTTGCTCTATATATTTAAAATAACTAAGACTAGATAAAACAAACCACAATACCTTTTTGTCCCCATAATTTTTAGCTCCGGAAGTATGTTGATTTGGAAGCAAATTAACCTGATGCTTGGAGATCTCAATGACTGCTTGCTGTGTTAAAGTGGCTTGGGATAAAACTTGAGTTAATACTACTCAAGATTTCTCTTCCTCTCAAGAAAGAGAAGATGATCAGTTTCAGAGACGGCACATTTGGAGACAATGTCTTGCCTCTTCATTAAAAGCTTGGACAAAATTTTCATAGACTTTATGTGCAGAAAGCACAGATGCACAGACGTTATGAGGGCAAACAAGTGTCTTTGACTGAAGAGAGCTTTTAGTGTCTCTCAATAAACTGCCTCAGTAAATTAATTTATTAACATTAATGTATAGATTCCTACATGAGATCAACAAACTGACTTTTTAAAAAATGGAAAGAGTCAAATTTGGTCTACATTCCTCTAAATGATGAATTTTACTAACTTTTAGTTACTGAAGTAACCAGTTTTGGAGTATCAGATAACTTCAGTCAGAATATAAATTTGGTAGATCAAAGATCTGGCTCTTGATAAAGTAAGATAAACAAAGATACAAGTTCTTTAAAAAGAGGTCATATCCAGAAGATACTTGCATTCATATGTTTCGCACAGCACTATTTACATTATCAAAAATATAGAATCAGCCTAAGGGTCCATCAACCATCAATGGATGACTGGGAAAAAAAAATGTCATGTAAGTGGCTGACAAGATGACCGAATAGGAACAGCTCCGGTCTACAGCTCCCAGCAAGATCAACACAGAAGGCAGGTGATTGCTGCATTTCCAACAGAAGTATCTGGCTCATTTCATCGGGACTGGTTAGACAGTGGGTGCAGCCCCCAGAGGGTGAACCAAAGCAAACTCAGAAAGTCCAAGGGGTTGGGGAACTCCCTCCCTGGGCCAAGGGAAGCCATGAGGGACTGTGCCCTGAGGAACAGTGCATTCCAGCCCAGATACTATGCTTTTCCCACAGTCTTTGCAACCTGCAGACCAGCAGATTCCGTTGGGTGCCTACACCACCAGAGCCCTGGGTTTCAAGTACAAAACTGGGTGGCCGTGTGGGCAGACACTGAACTAGCTGCAGGAGTTTTTTTTCATACCTCAGTGGCACCTGAAATGCAAGATAGAACCATTCACTGCCTTGGAAAGGGGACTGAAGCCAGGGAGCCAAATGGTCTAGCTCAGTGGATCCCACCCTGATGGAACCCAGCAAGCTAAGATTCACTGGCTTGAAATTCTCGCTGCCAGCACAGCAGTCTGAAGTTGACCTGGGACACTTGAGCTAGGTGCAGGGAGGGGCATCTGCCATTACTGAGGCTTGAATAGGCAGTTTTCCCCTCACAGTGTAAACAAAGGTGCCAGCAAGTTCGAACTGGGTGGAGTCCACCACAGCTCGCAAAGCCACTGTAGCCAGACTGGCTTTCTAGATTCCTCCTCTCTGGGAAGGGCATCTCTGAAAGAAAGGCAGCAGCCCCCATCAGGGGCTTATAGATAAAACTCCCATCACCCTGGGATGGAGCACCTGGGGGAAGAAGAAGCTGTGGGCACAGCTTCAGCAGACTTAAAGGTTCCTGCCTGCCGGCTCTGAAGAGAGCAGTGAATCTCCTAGCACAGCACTGAAGCTCTGCTAAGGGACAGACTGTCTCCTCAAGTGGGTCCCTGAGCCCCGTGCCTCCTGACTGGGAGACACCTCCCAGCAGGAGTCGACAGACACATACAGGAGAGCTCTGGCTGGCATTTGGCAGGTGCCCATCTGGGAAGAAGTTTCCAGAGGAAGGAACAGGGAGCAATCTTTGCTGTTCTGCAGCCTCCACTGGTGATACCCAGGCAAACAGGGTCTGGAATGGACCTCCAGCAAACTCCAGCAGACCTGCAGCAGAGAGGCCTGTTAGAAGGAAAACTAACAAACAGAAAGGAATAGCATCAACATCAACAAAAAGGACATTCACACAAAAACCCCATCCAATGATCACCAAATCAAAGACCAAAGGTAGATAAATCCATGAAGATGAGGAAAACCCAGCTCAAAAAGGCTGAAAATTCCAAAAACCAGAATGCCTCTTCTACTCCAAAGGATTACAACTCATCACCAGCAAGGGAACAAAACTGGATGGAGAATGAGTTTGATGAACTGACAGAAGTAGGCTTCAGACGGTGGATAATCACAAACTCCTCTGAGCTAAAGGAGCTTGTTCTAACCCAATGCAAGGAAGCCAAGAACTTGAAAAAAAGTTAGAGAAGTTGCTAACTAGAATAACCAGAATAGAGAAGAACACAAATGACCTGATTGAGCTGAAAAACACAGCACGAGAACTTCGTGAAGCATATACAAGTATCAATAGCCAAATCAATCAACTGGAAGAAAGAATATCAGAGATTGAAGATCAACTGAATGAAATAAAGTGTGAAGACAAGATTAGAGAAAAAAGCGAAAAAGAACAAACAAAACTTCCAAGAAATATGGGACTATGTGAAAAGGAGAACCTATATTTGGTTGGTGTACCTTAAAGTAATGGGGAGAATGGAACCAATTTGGAAAACACTCATCAAGATATTATCCAGGAGAACTTCCCCACCCTAGCTAGACAGGCCAACATTCAATTCAGAAAATACAGAGAACACCACAAAGATACTCCTTGAGAAGAGCAACCCCAAGACACATAATCGTCAGATTTACCAAGGTTGAAATGAAGGAAAAAATGTTAAGGGCAGCCAGAGAGAAAGGTCGGGTTACCCACAAAGGGAA